CAGAACAGCCGCAGGGTTGGTTTGGGGGGCAGGCCCATGCCCAGACCTTGGGGGGGTGGGGGTGGGAATGCCAGGGGCACGGCACCGGGCTGTGGCCGGGCTGTTCGGCGGGGCTTACGCCCAGTGGGATGGCCACACCGGGGAAAGGCTGAGCTTGCTGGGGCCTGCGGCAGGCTAAGGTCGATGGCGGTCCCGGCGTCTGGGCTGGTGTCAGCACGTGCAGGGCGCAGTATGGCAGGGCAGCGCGTTGCCACGGGGTCAGTGGATCAGGAGGGAAACGCCAACCCTTCCCGCTAGGCCCGTGTGCCCGCGTGGCACCCTGCAGCCCCTGAATGCAGGCCCAGCCACCCTGAGGTCAGAGCCCCTAGCTCCCAGCTGGGACTTCACGCAGCCCTTACCTCTCTTGCTGCTGCTCTCCGAGGGTCCCTGCAGGGTGAGGCTGGGGGGCCCGGGGCCCGCTGGCTTCCACAGCCCTCTCTTTTCGGCTCCCCTCGCACAGCTGCTCTCCATGCCGAGGCTCTGCCTGTAACGGGGCCCGAGCCTGGGGTCGGTGGGTCCCCCGGGCTCCGCGGCTCTGCGGTGAGGGCCAGGGGTGCTGGGCAGCGGGGGGCGGTGGAAGGTTTGCATGTCCTTGGCAGGAAGGTCGACATAGAGCACCCTGTACAGGCTGCTGCTGTCGGGCCCCCGTGGGACGGCCGGGATCTGGGAGCTCTGGCTCGGCCTGTCAAAGGACACGGCTGCAGAGAGAAAGGGGAGAGACGCTGTGTTAGGCTCCCGGCTCCATGAGCCTCACCCAGCCAGCAGCTCTCCCCCCTACCCCTGGCCCCACAGACACACCCAGCCCGCAGCTCTCCCCTCCCCCCATCCCTGGCCCCACATACACACACAGCCAGCAGCTCTCCCCCCTGCCCCACAGACACACCCAGCCTGCAGCTCTCCCCTCCCCCCATCCCTGGCCCCACAGACACACCCAGCCTGCAGCTCTCCCCTCCCCCCATCCCTGGCCCCACAGACACACCCAGCCCACAGCTCTCCCCCCGCCCCACAGACACACCCAGCCCACAGCTCTCCCCCT